GAAAGAATATGGATCAAGTGCAATACTCGGCCCGCCGGCTTCCCGCTGCCCCAGCCCGGCAAGCTCACGCAATAACCAGCCTGGCCCCTGCCCACGCGTTCGAGTGACCTCCTTTGGGCACCCAGGGGCGGGCTTCACGACCAAGCCGGCGAGGGGGCGAGGCTGGGTCCCCGCCGTCGCCATGAATGTACTGACAGCCGAGGCAGCAGCGGCCCCCACGCCCCATTAACCCACACCCATTCCGCGCAATAAACGACAGCATTGGCGCCCAGCGCCGCGTCTTCATTGCTTGGTGGTTTTGCGCGACGTCAGAAAGTGGCGGCTGACATAAGTGAACATAGACTTTAATTTATTTACACTATGCACAGGTCTAGGGACAGCACGGGATGGGTCAACTGAAGAAGTAGGTGGATTTCATCACCTGACTCAGATCGAAGGTACCTGCCGGGCCAAAAAGAGCACGGAGAAAAGGCTTGGTCAAGGGCATGTTCTCAAGGGCCAGTGTACATGCCCCCTTCAAAAACCCTTACCGGTCTTTGGCAAGGACTGTAGTGTCTTCTGCAGTTTGGTGGCCAGGGCAAGTTCTGAGGGCTTCTGGGAGCTGGAGGTACAAACAGGGTGGAGCAGACATGAGTGGGGGAGCGCGCAGCAGACAAGGACCAGGCTGCAAGATGAGGTGCAGCTCACCTGGAGACAGAGCAGAAGCGCTTCTCCAGGAACTTAGCCAGGTCTTCTAAGATGGGCTGGCTATGTAGACGCACGAACTGCTCACGACACACCTGAGGGGTAGCAGCTGAGTCAGCCATGGTAGAGACTACAGGACCGAAGCCCCATCTGGGGGTGGGGACTGGAAATACCTCATTCATCACCGGGATGTCAGCGGCGTGTGTCCAGAAGCAGTCGTGCACAGAGACGAAGGTCAGGCCCTTCCTGGCCAGGGAGATCCCATGTGAGGCGGCTGCTACTGGCTACTGCCCTAGCACTTGTGCTATGCGGGATCCCCAGCACATCCAGGTTCCCCAATGTTCTAAGCAGTAGATACTTAAGCTGCTGTGTCTCAGGGTAGTAAATTGAACCCCCTGTATGAATCCCAGCTCAGTCCAGTAGCAGGTCTGTGGTGCCAAGGTCCTGCTGCTGGGCTACCTGGGCACACGATGTGGAGACTCCTAGGGTCCCCAGAACTTCACAGCAGCACCTCCATCCTGTCCTGCCCTTCACAGACAGTGTCCACCCACTACACTCAAACTCACCATCACTGTCCCCAGTAAGCAAAACAAAGATGGCATGCCCCAGGCAGCTAAACATCACAGACTGAGTGCCTGTGCAGCGTAGGCACTCCATGTACCTCGGAGTCTAGCTGTAGCAAGCGCGTGCGGCCCCGGGACGCACCTGTAGCAGTGCAGGGCAGTCAGCATCATGTGGGCAGAGTCCAGGGAGTGGATGAAGTTGGGCGGAAAGCCATTCTTCTGCTTCAGAGTGTTGGGCTTCCTGTGGACCCGTAAGCGCTAGGTCTGGCGCCCTCCTAGCTGGCTCCCCTCCTGCCCCTCCCCTTCTCCCACCCTTGCTTCCCTGCAGCACGGCACTCACTGGGTGATGTCCATGGAGCTGGTCATGGTGATGCTCTGGATGCCACCTTTTACCTGCAGGCAGGGTTGGGGGTAGATGAGTCCAGCTCCGGGCAGGGAGGGGCGAGGAGGGAAAGGGAAGGAAGGGCCTTTTCAAGTACCTGGACCTTGGCCTCACGGTGATAGGGCTGTATGACGGGGATACCCAGGGGTGTGACCCACTCCACAGGCCAGCCTGAGTGAGAGATGAGGTTGGCGCTCTCGGTCAGCCAGTGCTGCGGATGTGACAGTACACCTGGTTGGATGAGCAAACCACGGGGTGGAGGGTAGTTACCCCCCATGGGAGAGGGCGGGCAGGGACGCACCTGGATGGCCCGGGTGCTGGAGAACATCTCCTGTAGGCTTTTGAAGACGAGGCGCACGAGGTAGTGTGAGGCTTCCCAAACAAACTCCTGTGGGGAGGGGCACTGGGTATGAACGACAGGTGGGCAGAGCTAATGGGTTGCCACTCCCCTTGCCCTCGAACCCAGGCTTTACAGGACTAGCGCTGCTCAGAAGAACCAGCCTCTTCAGGGGAGCACCCTCAGTGGGGACCCGGCAGGCTGCACACCTGGGGGAAGTTGCTGAGTTCGCGCAGACGCTTCTCTATCTGCAGGCGCCCACCATAGCGTGTGACTCCATACACCACGGTCATTACGGTCTGCTTCACCACCTTGCGGGTAATGAAGCCCTTCAGCACGTGGGCCACCTGGAGGCCATCCTTGGCGTCCCGCTGGCGGAGCTCCTCCACCTGCATGGGGTCAGCGGGCACAGAAGCCCTGTCATGTCACTAGGGATCCCATCTAGGCATTTTCAAGAAAGCAACCCCTGAGTTAGGGTCGGGACAGGGCCCTGGCACCCACCTGTGCTGCCACCTCCCTGTACACATCTTGGGGCAGGTCCGAGGGCATTAGGTTAACTGAGGCGGCACCTGCGCTGTCGCGGCCGAGCGCAGCGTAATGCTGCAAGCCATTGCAGGAGCCATCCTAGCCACAAGAGGCAACCATGAGCTGAGCCCAAACGACCCAGTGCAATGCAATGCAATGCAATGCAATGCAATGCAATGCAATGCAATGCAATGCAATACAATACAATACGGTACATGTGTTATCCCATCTCCAGGTGCAGAGGTAGTGCCTTGTCATAAGGAGACTGGGGACCCACCTCCCTCACAAAGCCAAGCCGCAGACCCCACTGAAAGGGCCAGTTTCTAGGACATCTTGGGCCCAGCCCCAGTGGGCAGTCCACTCACGCGCTCACCTGGTGAACCGGCAGGTGGGAGACATAGGCAGCCGCATCTGGGGACCGGACTGCTCGGGCCACCTCTATGCAGCAGGCCAGGGTCTGCCAGGGCTCATCAGCTTCCATCCACCACTTCCGGCCCTGTGTAACGTAGGACCCATAGGGCTCAGAGTCAGCAAAAGCTGGCCAGGACAGCTCAGGTGACACAGGGATATGGGGACACCAGGCAAGCGTTGTGTGTAGGGGAGGATGGGGGAGGACGGCACTAACTGCTGGGCAGCGGGGATGGGAAAGCTGGGGTCAGCGGCTGTGAGCATCTGAGGGAGGCTGCTCAAACTAGAGTAGCCCACAGGCTGGGAGGCAGAAACAGGGGCAGCCAGGAAGAAAAGCACGAGATTTCCCACCGTCATGGGGTTGTCTGCCGAGTCCAAGATCTCTTCCATGACCTCATCTGCGAATCTCAGGCGCATGCGCAGCGAATCACGCTTCCTGAGGCCAGTCAGGTTGACCAGGTGGATCTTGATCCAGTCGAGGCCTCGTGGCCCCAGTGGCCGGCCCTCGGCAAACTCCAACAGGGCCCGTGCCAGGTCACTGCCCAGATGGTTGAAGTATGGCGGACAGGGGTAGGTGCGGCCGCGGAAGTCCATATTGTGTGGCAGCCAAAAGACACGGTTCCGCAGGTGCTGTGCCAGAGACAGGCGGTACAAGGCTTCGATGCGTAGGCTGTGCATCTCCCGAGCAATTTTGAGGCAGCGCGACAGCTCTTTCCGAAGCTCCGCCTTGTGCAAAGGTGTGGCTCCAGGTGGCAGGCGCAGCTGAGCTGGCTGTGGGGCCTCTGAGCGTGGAGGAGGAACGCCCAGGCGTGTACAACCCTTGTCCCTGAAGATCTGTAGCACCAAGTCCAGCAGGCGCCCGTTGACACGCCAGGCACAATTCCCCAGCTGAGTGAGAGCGTCCAGGGCACCGTGCAGCTGGGCAGGAGCACAGCGCTCCAGGAGATGCTGGTGCTGTGTGGTGCCCTCTGTGGCACGCATCAGTTTGGTGGAGCTCAATAGGTAGGCCCCAGTGTGCGGTGTCGTCCAGGGCAACGGTGGGCACAACATAGGCACTTCTGTGGTCTCGAGGATCAGTGTGGGTTCCGCAGCCGTCTCTAGCAGCTTTGAGAAGGCTGGGTGAGGCTTGAGGATGCCGATCTGGAGGAGGCAGCAGAGACAAGAGGCATGCCAAAGGGGCTAAGCCCCAGCACTGTCTGCCACCACCCAGAGAGAAAACCCAGACACACACACACCCCCCCACACACACACCCCCCCCACACACACACAGATACCACACACCACACACACACAAACAACACATACACACACACGACACACACACTCCAGCACAGATAGGGATGGCAGAGCAGTGCTCTCTGGAGTTGTCAGAGCCCCATAGAATGGCACAGCCAGGTTGCCCAGTGTCCTTAGGCCCCTCTCAAGTCATTAGAGGAAGGGTCCTCCCAGGCACTGGCCCTGTGGAGCCCCGCTCACCTGGCGATAGCTTCGGAAGGAGTACACATGGTAGAGCACCGGGATGAGGTGGCGTGAAGCCTGCGGGGTGGACAGGTTGCGTGGCATCTGCACTGCCTGCACCAACATCTCAGCCAGCTGCTTGCCCAGGTGCAGCAGCACTGTCAGGGACCAGGGCTGCTGCATAGGGGTCTCCAGTGGGCCCAGTGATTCCCAGTACTCCCGAGGAAGGCAGGGCGCCTCCACCTGTAGGGAAAGCTGGTTAGGAGGGCCCTGGGGCTGCCCACATTATCTAGATGGGGTAACAGGCTCAGACGGACTGGCATAGTTGGGGAGAGGGTGCTGGAGGAGGGGTATGGGCAAAGCATGTGGGGTAAATCCCACAGAGAAGGGATGACACCCAGGTCAGCAGAAAGTCTGCCCCCCCTCACCTGCGTGTCAGAAGCCAGGAGCCGGAGGTACTGTGAGTAATGCTGCCCCAGTTTCTGCACATGGTTGGTGGCCTGCTTCTGCTTCACCAAATGCCGATTTAAGACACGAAGGCCCAGGTCATGGGCCAGGTGGAGGAGAGGCTCACCCTGCGCTGGCAACAACCGCAGAACCTGGGTGCAACAAACCCGAGCTGTGGCTGCCTGCACACAGCCCTGTGCCCTCTGCCTGGGAGCCCGCGACCCAGCCCACCTGCATCAGCATGCTCACGAACTCCCCTTCGCTGAGCAGGCACAGGAAGGGATAGAGGGTGGGCTGGCCCTCCTGCGCCTGGTGGGCCATGGTGGCCTTAGTCTGCTGTAGCACCCGCAGCAGCTCCGCTTCCCACTGCCCCTGCAGGGTCTTCAGGGTCTTCCGCTGTGGGAGAGCAGCTGTCACAACCCCGA